AGGCAAGTGCGTAGGTGTGTGTGGAGTAATTGCTCTGGAGGACACTGGTTTGGCAACCTCAGAGGCTGTAATCCTCTGTTTATCACAACTAAAAGATATGACATACGCATTCCTACCGCATGTCCCATCTCTGCTTCAAACCTGAGCTGCAGGATATACGTTGCTTTACCTATTACTTTCTTGCCCTTCCTGTAAAGTTCTCAGCTTCCACGTCAGTCGGACAGGAAACTTGTCCATTGGAATGGAATTATCCATTGTGTATATTAATGGGAGCTATATTTCCTCTGCAGTGTCCTCTGCTTCTTTCAATATGGTCTTTGTTGTTTGCACATCACTGGGTCACTCCTGTGCCGCACCATATGACCAACTGCCACCAGCTTTGTACAATGCACCATTTTTTTTCCTATTTCAGCTGTCAAACTTCTCAATCATATTCTCAACCCCATTTTTTTAATAGAAACTTTCACTTTCTCTATGTTTATGTCATGCCTAATACAGGAGGGTTCTGATCTCTGACTTGTGTCTCATTAATCTTTGTCTCAGATAATAATTATTTTGAGGGGAGTGTTTTGTTACATCACATAGAATTTTAGAGGATTTTCTCTCTTGCTAACCTGGTAATCTGTTATACAGCGTTTATTACTGTAATTAATAACAGTATAAATAACAATTTACCCTGGTGAATTATTATCAGAGAGATTCCCATTGATTCCATTTCTTGTTAAAAAGTCATGAGATGCATCTCCCTGGTTTGGTCTGATCTGACCCTCTGCACTTGACATAAATGAAAACATACTCCTGTGCACACTTGCACGCACACGGCAGTCATGCGTGCTCACACAGCTCCTTGCTTTGCTCCAGCCCCCCTCCGAGGTGGACGTGCTGGACGCAGTAGGGCTGGTCCCAGAGGAGGCACTCCCATCTCTTGTAAGCTCTTAAGTTCTCTTCTCACCAGCCAGAATATTTCAAAAGTATTTTCATAAATGCAGGTGCATGGGGCTGTGGGGAGCAGCTTGCTTTAACCTTGCAGTTTCACCTTGCAGCAGACATGCTCTTGGGAGCAATTATCTGTGTAGTAATTAACAAGGGAGTTTTCTCTGATGCTGCAGCATGATTCACACAGATTCCAAAAGATTAATTTGTTAGTTACCGAATAAAATACTTGCAGATGTACTTTGCTGTGATAACATCTCTGACTGGAGATGACTTGTTATGGACGCAGGAGTAAAGATCTGCAGGGCCAAATGTGACTGTGTGATCCAGAATTTTAGGCTCTTTCAGCAGCGCGCCTGACCCCAGAGTCAGCGAGGAGAATTTTGTTCATGGCTTTAACTTGCAGCAAAGTTCTGTGATCAGGGCTGGGCACAGGAAAAAGTCCTTTTGCCTCTTCTTCTCACTGTTGCTTGTCTACATGGCAGGGAAGGAGAGACAGCAGTCATTTGCCCTTCCTAAGAGGAGAAGTGCTCTTCTGAAGAGGACAAAGATATCTTGGCTTGCTAGCTCCCTTTCCTGAAATAGAGGGCTAATGTGGGCTGAGTGATACCGAACAGAACAACCAAATTCATGCTTTCTTGGTATGTTGTGTCATGAGTTAAAGTTGAGCTTGGGACAGCCAACCTTTGTCTCATAAGAAACCAGTTTCCATTAGCTTCCTTTGTGTTTTTTTCTTTTCTGCAGCATTTCCTGCATAAACATTTCTTAATAACGAGACCATTATCAAACACTGCGTTGTACTGCAAACAAATGCAGCAGTTCTGCCTTTTGCAAGTACCTGAGATGTGTGATATACAACTGAACGCTTTTCTCTGCAGTACTAATACTAATCAACCAGTTTAAAAAGTTTTAATACTTTGATTAGTATTGACTTTATTAAACATGCTGCTCCTGACTTGTGCTGAAGTTAGCTGTAGGAGAGTCAGAGCTGCAACCAGTGAATGAAAATGGTACAGATTTGAAACTACAGACGTGGCAGTGTAAATTGTAAAGAGTAAGGTAAGTAGGTTTTAGAAGTAATTTACATTAGCGTCTTCTGATGGTGTCTGCAGCAGGAGAATGTTTGAAGATTTGTTGGCTAATAATTCATAGTGAATATGTACTGTGTGTGACTTAGCAGGTGCTGTGAGTAGGGACTAACCCCATTCATGGTTTAGCCATAGCCAGCACTGAAACTGAAAACCATAACACACAGAGGGAAATATGATTAAACTGTATAAGTCTTTGGCCTCTGAGTAGGAGGAGGGAACTTCTTCAAAATCCATGAAGTGATGCAGGTTTTAGCAACAGAGGGGATAGCTGTTTCTTCTCAGAGCCTTGTGTAAAATCTGCTTGGGAAATAATCCATTGCTTTATTTTGGCATCCTTTATATTGACAAACGTTAAGAACCAGCATGGTACTGAAAGCTCCTTCTGTGGCAAAAGACCTGCAGTTAGGAAGTACAAGAAACAAAAATAAAAATAGAACTCATCAATCATACCTTACCATACACGTGTAAAATAATGAAGTTAGGTTGTCTTCAGTTTTGCTGTCCTAATAAGCAGAGCATCTATCAGAAACACTCTTTCAATGATACAAAAATGAGCGTGACCACTTTCTTTAGCTATATTCAGCAGTTTACAGAAAAGAAAATTCTGCACCAAAATTTGCCTGACATTAGAAAAAAACATCAGTGCTTTAAGTGGGTTGTGAAATGAGCAATGTAGTTCCTTCACATTACTCCTAATGCCATATTTATGTTTATGGATGTGTTGGCCTTGGTTAGTGGTAGGTTCTACTTTTGTAATTTAAATTAATTTCTTTCCTATTATAGGCATGCCGCTTGCAAATCTAATAATAAATTTATGTAAATATTACTTTGGAGGCATCTGTTCCTTAAGGAAGCCTTAGAAACCAGTGTTTGTTTTATTTATAAAATACATGTAAATAGTCCCTGGAAGATCTTCTGCAAGGCTGGGTATGTGGTAACACAGAGGGACATTAGGATCCTTCAGGACAGACAAATCTGAATGAGTACTTTGAAGGAAATGTGATAAACTCCCATCTTTTTAGGTCCTTATCTGGTCACAGGTTCAGTGACACAATGCCAAGTGTTCACCATTGCTCTGATAGCTGTAAAAACTAGAGGTAAAGTAAGCTTGCAGCAAATTGGCAGAAGGAACTGTATTGTTTATACATGAAAGGAGTTTCTGTGTGTGCTTGGCTTGCTTTACCCATGTGTCTCTACTAGACAGCAGTGTCCTGTGTCAGCATGGGCAAGCAGCCTAGATACACAAAATTCAGTTGTGGTTTATGTCAGTTAGGGTTTTCTCCTGTGAGGAGGAGTAGCCTGAGACAGAAAGGGATGTGCTGTTGACTGAGATTTTTGTTACTGGCTTTGTTCTGGCCATTAGATTAACTGCACTGTTTGTACTTCAAAGGCTATGAAATGTTATGCAAACACGTTGTACGGTGTATCCATCGTGAGCTTACTTAAGTTTGCAGCATCCAAAGAAGAGATGATCAGAGGCACCTGAAGCGTGGAGCTCCTGCAGTGGTGGAGGATAGATGAAGTGAGATAGGTCTGAATGATGCCCATGGACAAACCCAGAAGGCAGAGGGGTGAAAATCCCCAGTTTCACACTAGAAACTCCTCTTCAATCCTGTTGGGGAAATTGCAGGAGAGAGGCATCTAGGCATGTTTTTCCATGCATCCATCCTTTACTCAGCAATATGCAGTCTCCTTGCTCCTGACATGGGCCTTCCAAACTGTTCAGATAGTGGAGTAACAACAACAACAACAACAACAAAAGCCAGGTAATACAATCCCACTTGTAAAATTACTGTTCCTGGCCTCTTGGCCTGGCTGGCTGTGCAGTATCCCTGAAGCAGGCAATTTGTAGGGTTATTTTCTGCAAGGCTGCATCAAAGCTGCAAGAGGTTCTCAGAGGGCAATGCAAAGCTGCTCTTTTCCCCCATGATCTATAGAGAGAAGACATGAGTAAGGGAACTGTATTCTAAGATTAGAAGGGACCCCATGACCTTTTCTCTTCTGCAATTTTGCCTAGGCAGTGCATTAAAGTATTATTTCATTATTATTATTATTATTATTAATAATAATAATAGATATTATAAAGATTTATATTATTTAAAAATAGCTAATCCACCATTTTAAAGTCCAAGAATCTCTATTTAAGAACTATTTTAGCTGTTTGAATGTGGTCCTGGGCAACTGACCCTGCCTGAGCAGGACTGGACAAGGTTACTTCCAGGGGTCCCTTCCAACATTAGCCATTGCTGTGATTCTGTGAACTCCTCTCTATCTCCTCTGATAAACTGTTCTCATATACAGTTCGCCACTGATTATCTGTTTTGGTTTGCCACCATTTTTGCATTTTGCATTATCTTTGTATTGCACATGTGGCAATGGACTTGAGCAGGTCAGTATGTGGTTTTCCAGGTTAGGACCAGAAAGGTTGGAATTCATATAAATAATCCCTTATTTATATTTTGCTAGACCTAAAGGGTAGGCAAATATGGTGGAAAGGATTTTAATTTTCTGCTGATTCAAAAAACGTTATTTGGCAAGAGTGCTATTCCTTTCAACTGCAAAATCGGAAGAAAGGTAACTGTAAGAGCACAAAGTGAGGTGACTTTGCAGTCAGCTGAGATACGTTAATTTGGGTTATGTGTGTAGAGCAATTGATGCCAGCATAAACAAACTTCACTTAATTCTTAGCAATTACCTGCGATTTATGACAGAATTACCGTGATGTAGGTCTTGGAAGAATGTTAATCAAGCTTAAATGGAGCGGTATATTGTCATACAAGAACAAAGGTGTCTGAGAGAGAGGTAGCGAGGGGTATAATTTTTTTCTCCACCTTTGACGGTGAACATTTTAAATGACATTTATTGTAAAAAATGTGAAATTTGAAGGAAGTAGCAATGGCCTAGTCTTAGGGAAAAAAAACAAGTTTGGAGTTCCTTCATCCATTCAAATAGAGCTTGGACTGTTTCTTTTATAAGGGATCTTGGAACCACATTGTCCCATCTCTATGTCCTGTGGATGGCTCACTGTGGGCTCGCAGATTTAGATGGGATCTCTTCCTGCAGCTCTCTAAGAGTAAGTATAGTTGTGTCCTGCCAAATGACAATCTCAAAACTACCTCTTCAGTTGATACTTATTACTTGTAGTCTTTTTTTCTCTTCTGACTCTTTGTTTTTCTAAAGGACTTTAGTTAGATGCCTTGAATTGCATGTGTTAGTTTAAGAGATGCCACAGTATTTATTTTTTTTAATGAGGTGTAACATTCAGGTCTGATCCTGAAGATGCCTAATGCAGCACAGTGTTCGTTGCCATATTAGCCCTAGTTATTTAAGGTGGCAGCAGCCACACTTGTTCATTTGCATGCTGATTTCATGCTGTCATCTAGTATTTCAAATATTAGAAAACATTTTGCAAAGCTTGAGTGTTACTTGTGCAAGCCTATGGTTTATATATTTATTTTGTCTACTTCTGCTAAGGAACTCTACATAGCCTATAACAATATCTCTGACCTGAGCCAGCTGCTCTGGCTGGATCACCTTGAGGTTTTGGACCTGGAAGGGAACAATATTGAGGACATCAACCAGATGCAGTACCTGGGACTTTGTTGCAAGTTGAGCTGCCTGACAGTGGAGGGCAACCCTATCTGTTTGAAGCCAAATGCAGAATCTGCAGAGGTGAGGTACTTAGTTTGCATATATTGTGTTAATTTTCAGCAATGTATTTTTAATTTTGAGTTGGAAATGAGAAATGTTGGAAGAAGCCCAGGGGAGGGCCACAAGGATGATCAGGGGACTGGAGCACCTCCCACATGAAGATAGGCTAAGCAAGTTGGGGCTGTTCAGCCTGGAGAAGAGAAGGCTGCATGGAGACCTCATAGCAGCCTTCCAGTATCTGAAGGGGGCCTATAGGGGTGCTGGGGAGGGACTCTTCATTAGGGACTGTAGTGATAGGACAAGGGGTAACGGGTTAAAACTTAAACAGGGGAAGTTTAGATTGGATATAAGGAAGAAGTTCTTTACTGTGAGGGTGGTGAGGCACTGAAATGGGTTGCCCAGGGAAGTTGTGAATGCTCCATCCCTGGTAGTGTTCAAGGCCAGGCTGGACAGAGCCTTGAGTGAGGTTTAGTGTGAGGTGTTCCTGCCCATGGCAGGGAGGTTGGAACTAGATGATCTTAAGGTCCTTTCCAACCCTAACTATTCTATGTTTCTTCATCTTCTTATTGTATCATTCTGAGTGATGATACAGGATGTATTTCCCATTTTTCATGTCTGTTGATATTGTCTTGTCATGGGTATTGTCTAAAAGATGAGCACAAATGAAATACAAAGAGTGCTAGTGAAGACTCAGGCCTGTTTCCTAGCAATGTGTTTCTTCTTACCTATGAGAATGGGATTAAACTCGAAATGAGCTTTTACTGATCCATACAGCTGTTCTGTCTACTCCCAGCTTGCAGTGCAAACAGGCGTCTTAAAGGAAGACCAAGGGCAGCATGGGCCACAGCTCTTTGGATCTTTCTAGCTTGTAGGGATCTTGCAGCAGGTTAGAAGGTAGCCAATATTTTTCTTACAAGATGTGCCAGTTGCAGTGTCTCAATTACATGTCTGTCTTTGGGCTTTTACATTTCTTTTAGGAGGTTCGCTGGTCCAACAGCAAGTGCTGCAGGACCACCACACTCAAAAGTTGAACCCTCAGACAAACAAAGCTTGGGATAACTAGGAAAGCAGTATTATAGGAACTGCTACTTGTCCTTTCCCCTGAAAGGTTAAAATCAAATTACAAAAAATTACAGTAGTTCACCTCTTATGTACTGAAATGATAGATTTTTTTCTGTGGAGGTTCTGTGGAAGTTGTTGAGGGCATGAGATTCTCTGTGTCACAAAGATGAAAACACAGTGATAACTGATCTGTTGGGATATAAAAATAAGCATCTTGGCATATGCTGAAAAGGTAATTGGAGGAAAAGCAGAGTTTGAAAAATTTGGTTGAATTAGGTAGGCTTTTCCTATTTTGGTCACATAATGTCTAATGCGTATCATCAGATGACAGTTTATGGCCAGTGAGCAACATATTGTCATCCAGGTCTTTTGGAAGGTCACAGGCCTATGCACATACACATAGGTGTATGTGCATACAGCACTCACTTTGAATGCTGCAGTCCCCATAAAGAGCTGATAATGCATGGGTTAGAAATCAAAGCAGGTCTTGGTGCTATGACTCCATTGTGCCATGTTCCATAACTTTGCTGTGCATTTCGAAGTGATCATGCCCATGCCACTAATTTTCATAAAAGGTTGGGTTTGATATTTGTCCTGGATTTAGACTTGAAAACTGAGGTGCTGTCACTAACAGTCAATCACGTAGCAAACATACACATATTTTAAATGTCCTCACTGTTTAGATACATGAGTTATTCACATTTTTCAAATTTAATTGTTGGCTCGATCGTATCCCTCAGTAAAATGAGCCACAGAAGGCAGTGCTTAGCTATGATAATATTCCTCTCTGGAATCCAAAAGAAAATACTGTACTCTTGCCTTTCTGTTTGAACTGGTAGAAGTATACTTCAGAGACTACACTTTTTGTAACTATTTGTAACCAAAAGATGCAATCATGAGAAGAAAACACATATTCCTACAGTAAGGAAGCACTGCCTGCTTCTGATGGACAAAGTATGCTTAATTTTTTGGCTCTCATGGAGCCAAATACAACTTCTGACACTTCCTTATCATAGCTTCCTAGCATGAAAATGGTGCAGTATATCCTAACAGCATAGAAAGTCTATTTCTATTCTCTCATCATTCCTGCTCAACAAAAGTGGTGATTTTGGAGGATGTAGTTTTCAGTTGGCATCTTCAGTCCTTACATGTACTTGTAATGGGGAAATGTCAGATTGCCCGTGGTTTGTTTAGCTGAGGAAGTGAGTCCTTGGGATGTTGCTGTGTGTTGTCATGCAATGGAAGTTCAAAGAGGAGTGGTATGCGGTGGTGTGCCTTACTGCTTTTCTCCATGCTGAATGGCTGTCTCTACTCCTGTGTTATCAGTTGCATTCAAATGCCAGCCAGGATTTGTTGAGGGATGGCGTGTTTTACACAGAACTGTAACAGAGACAGACTGTAAGTTCACTGTAGTCTCTGACCCAGCTTCCATGCTGGGGAGCTGCTCAGCCCCAGGGAGGTGGCCTTTCCCTCAGCTGCTGAGAGCTTCTCCATGGACTTCGCTGCTTTCTCGGTTCCAGCTGAAGTTTGTATCTCTTCAGGGTATAGAACCTGAAATATATAAAGGAATAGATGTGGGCTTATTTTGGTGTGCCTTAGATGGCCAGCTCTAATTCCTCAAGCTCCTTCTTGCAAGCTGGCCCTTGCTACAGCCCTGTAAAAACCTCTTCTATTTATTTACTTTCAATCTACAGAATGCTCTAGCTAAATATACTGCTTTTTTTTTTTTTTTTCCAGACAGCCTGTTTGCTCTCTGTAATTTGATTTTCAGATGAGCTCATCTTTCCCTGTTATCTAAACCAAGAGCACCAACCTGATGGTAAATCCTGCAGCCCCTACTGCACTAATGTAACATGAGTGTAGCGTGATGCTCCTCTCCAATAGGACATGGCTGGAAATTGGCTGTAGCCCAGAAACTGTTCAGAGTACATGTGGTACAGGGCAGCATGGCGATTGGTTGACTCATTTTCTAAATTAAGATTAAAGGCTTAGTTAGAGAACTCCAGTGTTTGCCTCTCAACAACAAAAAATGCACCCTCTATTTGGTGAGCTCCCCTGCCAGCCTCAGTGTTGCATTGGGAGGGAAGGAAGGAGCATACAGCCAGGAGGGAAGGAGGGAGGGAAGGAGGGAGCATACAGCCAGGCAGGTCCCACAGAAAGATTTCTGTTTGTGACAGCTCTGTACTGAATGAGGACTTGGCTTTGTGAGGTTTTCTAATATTGCATGCAATGTCTTGAAAAGCATAACATTTATCTGGATGAAGCAATTGATTTGCAGGAAGCTGTCCATTCATATTCTGCCACTAGCAGTGTGTTCTTGTTTTATATTTTCTTTTAGTATCAGTCATCATTGTTTACTGCTTTTTGTAATCTGAGACTATTTTAACCAGAAATATTCCCATTTCAAAGCAGCACGACCCAGTCAGCCCTGCTATATTGCTAACTTTTCCCAAAGACAAAGGTGCCATGCGAAGGTGTCTATACCACCTGAACCCACCAAAACAGCCCAATTTGCAGTGTGCTCTGAGCACAGTTGTAACTGTTCTGGATTGCCTTGCTGCTCAGCGGTCCCAAAGCATTGGCATGTGCTCGTGAATCATATTATAACATGTCAGCTCCCCACACATATGCAGAAGGGGCTACACCCGTGCTTTCCCCCATGGCTGTCACACTGAGTCCATGTGCTTTGGAAGCAATGGCATTGTTTTTCCAGCACAGAGAAAAGAAACCCAAGTGCAGTCCATTTTAGCCTTCTGTGTACCTGCTGTTGGTATGTGAGTTCTTGCAGAAGCAAATGTAGTGTGAATTAAGCCACCACTTCTAACAGTGTGTAAAATCACACACCAAGCCCCTGAAGACTGCCCCAGAAAACCAGTGCAGTTCACTTGCTGTACCTGGTTTATGGGTGTGCCTAAAAACACAATCCATGAAAATGCCCTTTTTCCATCAGCAGGTGTAGCAACATTCATCACGTTTTCAAGTCTTCCTATCACCCGAGTATCGATGCAGCAACCAGAGAATCACAAAAGCGGAAGAGAGGCTGGCTAAATGCTGAGGGTGCCCAGGCTTTCCATGGGCATTAGTGGCTTTGTACGCTTTTCATACATTATACATAGTAAAACAGAGACAAGACGCTACAATCACCAGTGGGTAAACAGCAAAGGAGCCTCTGGGCAGGTGTCATGTGTTTGCAGTGCTCGGGGCATGTTCACAATAAACTTTTTTTATAAGAAAAATAATTATGCAAGGAGAAAGCTTGGTGAAATGAAAGTCTTGACTCTTTATTTCTGTTGAATTAATAGGTTTGCCTCATAGAAGGTGTTTCAAATTATATGGCAGTCATGCAAACTGAACACTGCTGTGCTGCTGGTGGAAGTCCACAGTCTGTTAGATCAACTGTTCAAGTGACCACTTTCTCAATTTCACCAGGAACCAGATTATAATTACAGAGCTGAAGTAAAAAAACTCATTCCCCACTTGGAATATTTGGATGAAATACCAGCAAGCCAGACTGCTCTCCTTCCTTCCAATAAGATGCATGAGGACTGGCTAATCATCAAGGAATCCATCAAGGAAGGTGGTTTAGCTGGAGACATTTCATGGTTAGGTATGTCAGGTTTCCTGTCGGGGTTCATTTTTCAGGTTATGATGTGCAAAAAAGAAAGATGAAGAGCAAGCTGGCCTCTTCAAAGCCAACATTTAATTATAGTGAAGGGACAAAGGATGTTGTGACTTGGGAAGTGAGGAAGATAGAATTCAGCACTGTGCAGGCTTAAATGAAAGCTGTCTGAAACTGGGCATCAAGATCAAGAAAATGCAGATGACTTCTAGAACATCAAGCAAATCCAGTAGTAACTGGAAGTCTGTGCTTTGCATTAATTCTGCATGATTGGAAAAAGCAAAGCTTGGAAAGGAATATTTCAACAGCAGCTCTTCATAGCCCTTTCCATAGCAGCAGTCAATCCTACACTGGGTGGATGTAGCAGGATTTCCTTCTCCAATTTAATAATAGGAAAGGCAATTTGGTCACCACCCTGCAATGGTAGCAACATCCTAGCAACTGAGATTGCATGGAGATCTGTTCCATTTTCCTTGCCTCTGTGATTAAGTCCGTTACATTCATTAGTAGGGAGTAAATGGTTTGAAAAAAAAAAACCAAACCTGTTGTCCCCTTGGCTGTATCCTTGGTTATAGTTCAGTTGTCCAGGCTTTTATGTATCAATCATCCTACATTCATTTTACTGAGTACCATTAAATATTACCAAGCATTTCCTAAAACTGCTCCTGTTGCTCCCCATTAGTGTAGGCAATGCACTTGGCTTCCCAGCCCTTTCCCCCACCCCCATTGTGGTTTGTCTGCCAAGTGTATTCCATTAAATATTTAATTTGTTTTGGAATAAGTACATACATTTGTCATTTATTTAATCCCTATGGGTACAAATCAGTAGTTGTAATAGAAGTCATTGTAGAAAAAATAATTCGTTAAAATCTGATCCCTCAATGATCCTGCTTTGGCAAATATCAGCTATGGTTCAGAAAACTGGTTAACTAAAGTAAGCTGCCAGCTGTGCCAGTAAGGACAGGGCACAAAATTGTAAGTTCATATTATTTCCTAGCGCAGCCAGACTCATATTCTTGCCTTCAGCTCCAAACTGGTGAGCTGATATGGTCAGGTTCGAGCATCCTTGTATTTGTTTCTTTCCTAGAGCAATGTTGACTCAGGTGCTTTTAACGCACTGTGTATTTCATGAGTTTGTATTAACAACTATGGCCCAGATATTTTACAGGTCCCTAACACTCCACCCTTAAGGAAATGGCCATATTATTATAGAGCTGATTCTTCCACTGTTAAGATGGTAGACGCTCAGCACTTTTCAGTGCCTAGATGAATGGCTTGCTTTGTAATGAAATTCACTCTCCTATGGGTTGTTGCTTGCACATGCTGCTCTTGCAGCTGTGATGTGCTCCCAGGGCAGCCGGTGGTTGGGCAGGCAAGGGAACAGCGCTCTATCTGCCTTGGTTAGCTTCTGTATTATCCACCCTGCCCTGTAGCATTATGAAACCCCAGTTTTCACCTTTCTTTCTGTGGTAGAGAAGTATCTGTCTCTGGTGCAATACTGGAAGAATCTGTCACTGCCATTCTCAGATTTCCATAGCTCCTGGTTACGTAGTTTGCCCTGATTGTTTAATAGCTCTGGTAGCAGTGTCACCATCTGCATTATGCCTGGGTATTTAAGCACTATATCTTAGGACTGGGGGCTTGAAGCAGTAGCAAACCTGCAGTGGTTCCCCCGTAGGCAGGTGGGCAGCAAATGCAAGGCAACATGCTCTTACCCTGGATATGCAGAGAGGAGAAGTAGCAGAGCCCTGGATATGTCCAGGCTCACCTGTGGGGCAATTGGAGGTGGGTGGTGAGCACAGAACAGTTCCTGACCCCATATTCAGCCAGCAGTTGGTCTCTGGTGTTCAGAAACAGGAGGAGGGTGGGAAGGGACTTTGGTTTCATTGGGGACCCCCCGAGTTCTACTGTCTGCAGAGAACAGCTATGGGGGACTGCATGCAGTACCAGGAAGCCTTCTGTCTCTGGGCTTGACCCATTCCAGCATGTTTCTTGTATCTGCAATGACATGTTTTATTGTTTCCTACAGCTCCAGGTGTGCAGCAGCAGTTCCCCTATTGGCAGTGTGCAGTGATGGTGTGGTTTGAAGCCTTGAATGACTGTGCTTACTCTAGCAAAATCTCTCCCTTAGATCCATGCCTTGGGGCAGTAGCAAGGCAGTCTAGATGGAGCCCAAGAACCCCAGCAGCTTCCAGACCTGGCACTGCACAGTCATCTGCTCATGCAGGGGGATCTAGCAGTGCCTGCCTCTTGTATGGTGGCGGTCCTCTTCCAGATCCCACTGTTTCTGACAAGCTGTTCACAGAAGATGACTCCAGTGACTTGATACATGGTAACTTATATTTTTTAATCCTGTTCTTTTCCACACCTCCACCTCCTTCTAATTATTATTGCTGATGAAAGCCTGAGTGCTTTGAATACCACCTACCCATGGTGCTGCTAATCAGGTTCAGCACATGTTTTCTTCCACAGGACTCACCTGCTTTAGCATGGGATTTCCTTTATTTCCCCCTGCAGAAGGAGGTGAATGTCATCTGGCCTCCTCAGCCCCTCACCCCCATCTATTATGTGCTGCTGTCCCTCTTAACAGCCCTGAACTGCAGTGGTGCTCCCTCACTGAAGCTGCCCTTCACACCTTATCAAAAGCTGTTCTGCTCATTCCTTCAAGTTACACATCAGCCTAGCTGGAGCTCACTTAAGTCACATCTGGCACATCTCATTCAGTCACAGGAATGTGGTCCAAGGTAGTACTCTAGAAAGGCATGGTGATGCACATTCACTCACTGTGGGATCACATGTGCTCCAACAGCAGGTATTGCAGTCTCATACTGCAGCAGCATCACTGCTGTCAATGAGCACTTTCTTTTGGGTTTCCAGGAGTGGGGCCCTCAGCAAAAGGGGTCAGCTCCTTGACTTCACATACCTGATCTACAGGCTCACCCAAAACACAGGGTACCACCTCCCTTTGTGCCCTGGCTACCCAGAAGTTCTGCCAAGTTAGCAGCTCCTGGAGACAGCTGGATGGAAAGGGAGATCACTTCTGGTACTATATTTGGCACTTGCCAAAATGTCCTTTCCTGACTCCTGAAAATATCTTGATGGTGCAACTCCACTGGCCCATGGAGTGCAGATTAGATAGGAAGATGGTGTTTGCTTTCTCAGCATTGTGGGCTGCTTCTCTCAGATGCCAGTCTCAGCTCAGTTCTTTGCTGTAGAAGGACTCAGGATGATGAACTAGATGAAGCAATGTAGTGTCGACTGAGTGTTCATTTGGAAAAGAACATGGAAACTGAATGCAGCTTGCCAGGGAATGAGACCATCCAGAGGCACCTTGACAGGCTTGAGAGGTAGATCCATGCAAACCTTGTGAAGTTCAGTAAGGCCAAATGCAAGGTCCTGCACCTCGGTCAGGGAAATCCCACAAACAAATATAGGCTGGGTGGAGACTGGATTGAGAGCAGCCCTGAGGAGAAGGACCTGGAGGTGTTGGTCAATGAGAAACAGATCATGACCCACCAGTGTGTGCTCACAGCCCAGAAGGTCAACTATATGCTGGGCTGCGTCAGAAGAAGTGTGACCAGCAGGTCAAGAGGGGTGATTCTGCCCCTCTACTCTGCTCTCATGAGACCCAACCTGCAGTACTGTGTTCAGCTCTGGAGCCCCCAAAATAACCAGGATTTGGACCTGTGGGAGTGAGTCCAAAGGAGGCCATGAAGATGCTCCAAGGGCTGGAGCACCTCTCCTATTGAAGACAGATTGATAGAGCTGGGGTTGTTCTGCTTGAAGAAGAGAAGGCTCCAGGGAGACCTTATAGCAACCTTCCAGTGCCTAAAGGAGCCAAAAAGAAATTTGGAGAGAGACTTCTGACGTGGGTCTGTAGGGATAGGACAAGGGGAAATGGTTTTAAACTGAAAGAGGATAGATTTAGATTAGAGAGAAGGAAGTTCTTTACTGTGAGGGTGGTGAGACACTGGCACAGGTTGGCCAGAAAAGCTTTGGACACCCCATTCCTGGCAGTGCTCAAGACAAGGTTGGACATGACTTTGAGCAACCTGGTTTAGTGGAATGTGTCCCTGCCCATGGCAGTGGTGCTGGAACAAGATAATTTTTAAGGTCCCTTCCAACCCAAACCTTTCTATTATTCTATGATAATTTTACATGCACTTTCAGGTAGCTGGCACTGCTGACAGAGGCAGTTTCACTCCACGCTCACTGCTTCTTCCTGCCCCTTTGCTGCCTTATATCTTTTTTGGCAAAAACATCTGCATCACCACATGGGGAACCTGATTCTGATCGAGATCCAGCTGAAAAATAATTCAGCAAAACAAACACACACACCCCACAAAAAACAAATTTAGTTTTAATCTGGATCTGTTCCCTGATCTGACTCACTGTGTGGCCTCACAAATGTTTGCAGCAGCACAGTGGAGGAGTGCAGGGCAAAAGCAGAAGGAAACAGATTCTGGTAGAAGCAGAGAAATGCCTCTCAGCAATGGTGTCAGGCCATGCCAGCTCAAACCATGAACCTACACCATGAAATATTACATCTTCCTGTCTGTGAAAATGATATTGACTGATTTCAAAGACAGCACCATTTGTTAAATGCTGGAATAAAATGTTCTCTTTTTCCGTTTTTTTCTTAGGACTCAGTCAAGTTACGTGTGGGAGCCACACCGAGGCTCTTTGTGCAAGGAGGCAAAAGCTAGGTGTATGTTTTTCTTGTATATGTCATATTCCTGCCTGGTAACCCCCAGGATCCTGGGATAAACTGAACTTGCACTGTGGCTTGTGGCAGCTTTCTCTCTTCTGCAACACAAAAGCCCCCCAAGATGCAATTGACCTTGGGGAGGACAGAGCCTCTTGCCCTAAGGTTACAAATGCTCCCATGTGCTAGCAACAATTAACCATCAGCCTTAAAGGAACACATGAAAATAAGGTATCAGCTGATGGTGGTGCATTTTGTATTGTCCTGGCTGAGCAGAACACAAGGCAGGATTGCAAAATTTGACAGTATTTCTACGGCAGCTATTAAGCAAAAGATTTTTTTTCAGCAGTGTTTTTTTGATGTTGGTGTAAATAGTCAAATTACTGCAAAGTCATTCCTATGGCTAAACAAAGGTTGTTCCTCTTGGCAGCGGGGTGGTCCCTCAGCCCTGTGGGTCAGCCTGCTCATTTCAGCTGTAATGTCATGAGAGGATGCCCATGTGTGTAAAGGGGTGCAGTATGGGTTGTCGCGGTTAGCTTCTGTGGGCCATGAGGTTCAACGTGGCACAAATGCACACACACGTTTTTAAACAGGCTGTACTAAACCAGGTAAACAGCATGCATAGGACACCTACATCACTGCATTGTCAGCAGCCTCACTTAATGCTGACAGCAGATGTTGAAGAACCACTGGAAAAAGGCATCCCTCCCTTGTCTCTCTGCTGCCACTGCACAAGCACTGGGAGCTTTTCTGAAACAAATCTGAACATTGGAAATAGATGATATTTAAGGTCCCTTCTAACCCAAACCGTTCTATGATTTGAGTGAATTACTGTGTTATAAACTAGGATGTGGAAGGGGACTGCAGTCACATGCTGTATGATGCCGTTTCTGTGGTACTGGTCCTAATATGCTTATTGTCATAGATACTACAGGCTTATACACCAGGGAGATATAAGTCAACATCTGTCTTACTGCCACCCTGGGTTCCACAAGCTGTAACGGTGCACATGACTGAGGTGTGGGGCTTCTTAAAACTGAGGAGCAAGAAAATAGTGAGGTGTGATCTGAAGATTCAGGAGTAACAGCGTATTTTAATGCCCTCTAAAATCTACAATCTAGAAGCAGAGCCGGAGAGAGCTCCTGAGGTTATCAAAATAATTTCTGTCATTTTCCAGCCACCTGTAGTGAGCCCTTTGAAACTCTGTGGTCTGAGGACAGAAAAGCTTTACAGCTCTGCAGGAGGAGGAAGTCTGCACCAGGAAGATGTGCTCTCTGAACTGTGCGCCAACAGAGAGCAGCAAAAGAGGTGAGACTGCAGGAGAAATCTTGTCGTGCAATAAAGCGGGCATTCATTTTCTGCTGTAATAAAATTAAACTCCTTGGCCACCTGGTGGCGGTTTCGAGGGATAGTCTTGGCCTCCTGCCTTCCTGCTGTGGCAATCCATCCATCAGTGCTCCTCACTGGAGCATCTGCAGAGTGTGCAAGGGAGAAAAAACCTCTGACCTCTCTCTAGAGCAGGCTGAAGACCTGCATAGTCAGGGTGGGCTCACTTGCTTAGTGAGAGCAAGGAAATGACTTTTCACAACTAATGAAACACTTGGCTCTGACAGTGCCTACCTTCAGACACTAAAAGTGAAAGTGGATGAGGTTTTCTGCAAACATCACATTGGCCTAACCAAATGAAAGCCTGAAAGGAAAATAACACCCGACTGAGATTCCCCCACCTCATAGACAATTAGTGGTTGTTTTGGAAGGAAAAACAGCTTCATATCTCTGAGCTTACTTCACTGTGTAGTATTTAAAATCTGTCCCATTTCACTTGGTTAACTATAGGACACTTTCAGATAATCAGACACAGGAAGCTTAGATGGCTGATCCATTTAGAACAATTTTCCATTTCTCTGGGAAAGTAGGAAATCACAGTGGCTGACTAAATCCACTTCCTGGGTGTTTGCCTATGTGGCCTTGCCAAGCTGCAAGTGACTGGCTGCATATACACAACTCAAAGGCTAACTAAAGGTGTGATATTTGATATTGTCCAGGTGCCTGCATAGAGGACAGCAAGAAAAAGTCACCCAAGCACTGAGGATAACTCTCAGTGATGAGGAAGGGGGTGAACACTCCAGCCTGACTGACAGTTATGAAGGTGCGTTGAGCAAGACCTCTGATAAGGACCTCATTGAAAGGATTTCACTTGATTCTCCTTGCCACTCCTGCCTCTCCCAGTCTTCCTCAGGTACTGGACCTAAACCTCTGGGGAAGGATCAGCACTGCGTAGTGATACTTGCAACTAACCATTTGTAGACTGGTGTATTAGTAAATGCAGTGTTTTAAGAGATCTGGCTTCTGTGCTCTAGAGCAGCAATTTGGAAATATCACTGGAGAGCTAGACCTTTTGTAATCCATTCTAGTTTTTAAGCAGGACACGGTGGTCAGCTGTGTTGACCATCAGTTGATTCATCAACATGGATCTGTAGAATTAAGAGGAGCCAAGCTGATTTTAAACCAGCTTAGCATCAAGTCTAGAGGAAGGACATGCCTCTGTCTTCTACCTTGTATCGTTAATTTATGGCAGTGACAAGTAAGTCTAAAACACTGGTGTTCCACCTGAGCCATATTTTAGCCCAAGTGGCACTGGTGAAAGTATTGGCTGAGCTAATGATTAAGGTTTAACTGGGCAACTGGGAATTCTGGAAAGATATGCAACCAAAGGGATGCATTCAATAAACAGTTTAAGAATGAAATGTGTTCTTCTAGTCATCAAAAACAAAGCCAAAGGCCTCTCCAGAATTGCATTTACATAAATGAAAGCAGAATTCCTGCTGTTCACCACTCATTGAATATTATATTTAAGAATATTCGAAACATTAATAATAGTTATTCCAAATACATATTGAGTACAAAAGTACAACTTTGTTACTATTGTTAATGATAACTTTTTGGGGTCTCAGTAAATACTAGCATGTGAGTTTTTGCTTTATGTTTCTTTCAAGGGCAAAATTGAGCTATTAAAATTTAGAAAAACAAATGTTTTGGAAGAAACAGAAGTATCATTAACCATTCAAAGCCTCTGTGTACTAATGGTAAAATGGTAATATAAGCAATATTTCTTTAGTAAGAACAGAAACAGTTTGGAAAAATCGAGTGGCCAATTGTCCAGTGACCACAGAGGTCTTAGATTATGATCTTGTGGTCTCTTTAGGTTTAATCAGACCTTTTTTAGATTTAATATGATTTCCATAAATTGAGTATGATTTATTATGATCTCATCATCGTTGTAGATTGAGTAAACAATGCAAGGGTATCTCACAGTGCAGCAGGGTCATGCCTTATAGGGCTATCAAAGTGAATGGCTGGGCGTAAATCTGCCTGTCTTGTAACCAAATCTGTTAGCATTTGTTACAAGATTGTTGGAGTGGTTTGAAATCTAGTATTACATAGGGGATGGGGGCTGTGCAGATGACCCAGATCCCAAATTACAAGCAGCTGGCCATAATAACAACGATTCAAATAATCACAAGCACAGTAGCTTTTGCCCGCTGTCACTAATAGACATATGTGTTTTGCAGAGCAAATACCTGATAAAACTTTAGCAACTAATGGATTTTAGTCAGCAAGGCCATTAAAAATATACTTGACCTCTGTGACTTGAGACTGTGTCAAGGTTTGGAGAGGGATTTAAATGCTACAACACTTAACTTTGGAAGTGTGCTCTACCCAATCACTTCTGTGGTTTTCTCACAGAAGAACTTGTTGCTGAAAACAGTCCTTCTGATCAGGAAAGGAGAAGTCATTTGAGCAAAACCACTGTTATTTAAAAGTAATTGCAGCAACAGATCCATATAATCTGCACCCTTTGGAAGCTGTTGAGTGTTATTTCAAGCTCTTGAGTCAGGCATACCAGTCTTTCAGAATGTCTTTACTTAAATAAAAACCCCTATGAAATTTAGAGATTTTTAAAGTATAGTATTATGGAAATTGTTCAGTGAAAATTTTGTATTGGCTTTAAGTTGTTACCTAAGCAGTAAAATACATGCCCATCAATTAGGAGCTATGAAGCTGAACTCTCTGGGATTGGGCTTGGTGGCACATTCTTTAGACTGTGTTCCTGCCCTGCACCCTGCACATCAGGTGCTTAGGTACAGTTGGTTCTTTTAATAGACAAGAGTAATTAGACCCCTGCTACATATAGCATCATTTTAAGCATGCATACATGCATGTTATATTTATAAGTCAGGAACAAGACTTTTCTTCTCTATACATTGCACCTGAGATTACATTGGCTAACATATGAACAGCAAGGTAGCAGCCCTGTATGTAGGACAATATTTTCCTTATCAGTCGGGCAATTTCCATAATTTTAAGGCTAATCTCAAGAACTTACTCTTACACCCCTGCCTCTGGTTAAAAAACCCCTCTGATTAAAAAGTGAATCCACTCATCTGCAATTATTCCTGTGCCTTGAATTTCCAATCACTGGATGAGGTCCTCAGGTATTTAAAACAACTCAGTGCAAATGCTGGCCAGGAATGATGCATGTATGATCCTGCCTGAGAACAAGGGGATGGGTGAGCTGGTTTGCTCCACTTGAGCTGTGCGTGGCTCATGAGCAGTTCCAATGCTTGGCATGTCACCAGCAGGGAGGCTGCCAACTAACCGAAATCCCTGGCTCTCAAAGGAAGCAATTCAACAAGGCCAGGGACACATCTGCCCACCCATCTCCATCACACAGCATTCTCCAATACATTTTTCTCACCAAGTCATTATTTAGGAATAAGTTGAACTGGTAAATCACTGTGCTTCCCCCCCCCCCATTTCAGGTTCATCACAGGCTCAGGAAGGTGCAGTGTTCTCCAACCCAAACCACTGCCTAATTCCATCTCCTCCAAAAGCCCCTTCACCTGTATCTGTAACAGGTGTAGCAGCAAGATCCTGGAAAAAAAGGAACCGCAGGATAAGATGCCTAAAATCACCTAGCCAAGAGGAGAGGCAGTGGATACAGCAATGCCAGCCAAGGGCTCATCAAGAAACTTCAGCCCAGCCTCTGGGCAAGAAATTTGCTCTTCTGAGCCAGCACAGCATACTGGCTGCCTCTGGATCTCCAGGGCAGCACCAGCCTGCTGGAAGCACTGGCCAGCAAAGGCCTACTTCAATACCAACAGCTGTTGGATCAACAAGCATCAGGTATGCACACTGCCAGCAGCAGTGCTTGCAGTGTGTCTGGGGAAAACAGAAGGGGCTTCACAGCAGGAAAAAGCAGACTTCTGTGTTGTCTCTGGAGTCGCTTGTCTGTTCTGTAAAAAACCCTCCTTTTATTTGTGCTGACATTTACTTTTGTGCGTCTACTGCTAAACTAAACATTTCCTCATGTTCCCTATAGCTTGAGCGTTGGAAATTTGGTATTTTCTTAAATAATAGCCCAGAATTTTCTTGTGTTCTTACGGCTCCATTCTCATGGACTGATGCCTATGTCTGTTGCAGAGTTCTTGTAGTGGCAGTTGTTCAAGACTCTCCTTAGCTAAACCCCAGCACAAGTTCCTGACATCACATTTCTTATTTTTTTCTCCCCTTAAAACTTACATTAATTCATGTTAGAATGAGCTTTGGAAAACAAAGTAGGCATTAGGGAAGTGTTACATGCACCAAACCATGGTTATTTGTGAACCTACTTACTGTAAGATTAGCATCTTGCTGCTTCTTTGAAGAAATAAAACTGAGGAGCTGTGAATGCCACTTTGATTTTGAAGTTAACATAGGCATTATAGAGCAGTATAGGCAGAGAGTACGTGCCTTGTGTGGGAAGCTGGTGTGTCTTCTGCTGCTCCCAAGCCTGGCAGCTTTCAGTTGAGTTTTCAGAGTGAGAGACAGCAGAGCTGGTGGGGAGAATGCAGATATCCAGACCCTGAGTGCAATTTCACCGCAGCGTTTCTCTCTTTTCTCTCAGGCCCATCGTGGATGAGAGCCCTCCTGGAGAGATCAACCACCATCAACCAGCTGTCTGCTCATCTACAGAAGCCCCACAGTGGTCTGGACTGATGAACACTGCTTGGCCCCTGACTGCCAGGGCCATGCTGCAGCCATTGCCACACAGACCTGCTTCCTCAACATCTCAAAGTCCCCAGTCATAGAAGGTACCTAGGTGGCAGTATGTGTTGGATCTACATACACAGCACAGTCTTGAAGAATTGATGCTATCTTCTTTCAGCTTCTTTTACAAGCTAAATGCAGAGCTGTGCAAGTAGAGCAGTTCAAACAAATGACATGATTTGCCTCAATTAAGGCTACAGCTGGTCCAGAACTGCTTTCTTCAAAGAGCACCTGCTGATCAACAGAAGAGCTAATAAACCTCTTATTATAGACAAACATGGTTATTTTTGCAGCCTTCATGCTCTAAAACAGAGCAAGTCCTAGTGTATTTCCTCTCATCTACACTATGCTTTGCTCTCTGAGTCAGGCAGGGACATTGAACCAAGCAGAGCATGGAGCTTGCAGTTTGTGGAGTGGGCTGGAGGAGGTGAGAGACAGAGCATTCCCTCTCATTCCTATCCCCCTGATCTAGCAGCAGCCCACAATGCATCTTATGCAGCCCTGGATGTTTAACATGTAAGGGACAAGCCAACAGCTTTGAGAGGAAGCACTGTCTGGAGCGGGTTGTAAGGGGAGCTTGCGTGGCCTGAGGAAGAGCCCAGGAAGATTGTTTTTTTTCAGAGCTTACGCTCTCCCAGGAGCTCACCTGTTCACAGGCATCTGAGGATCTTGTTGCCTACATTGCTATGGGAGACAATGCTAACAAAGTGGCTTGCAATATTAACATATTTGTTTGCTCCATAGCTGCCTGAAAGGATTTATCTTGTTTCCTATGGATAGAGGCATACTGGAATGTCATTAGCATGTAAGCAGGTGTCAAGAGCATCCTCTGCATGTGCCTTTAGTGTCAAGCATCCCACTCTAGCTTTGTTAGACCAAATAGACTTTCTAATTTCATATGACTGAATAATTTTAAGTAATGCTGCCACAAAGACAAGGCAGGGAAGTAAGGGGAAAAACCTTTTTTTTTTTTCAATAGGGCATTTGTTTTACATTTGGGTGAGATTCAAACCATTGGTTTGAGTGACGGCAGACTTGAGATGCTGATCCAAATGACTGTGCCTTAAAACTTCATTGATGTTGCAGTCTGAAACCATGCATCATTGCATTTTTCCAGTTTAAATTACTATGTTAGAGATATATTTTTAAATTGGTTGATAAACACTGATTAAATGATAGGTTAATGAATTGGTTTATGTTTTCTTTCTGCTGGTCAGCTTAAAGTAGAGGAGCAGAATAATACAGAAAACACCAAAACTTTGTCTCATCGTGGTTATACTTGTACCACTTTTTCCTACAAAATAGTCTGGAGCTTTAAGCTAATTTGTCCAGTTTTGGCAAGTCCTAGAGGAATTAATCCATCAAAAATCATTAAAACCTATGAGGTATGTGTTTCTGTGCAATACTATGGGCACAGGCAGGATTTCCCATCAGGTGTTGCCCAACACCAGTGCCTGTGTCCCTAAACAGGCTCCTAAAATGCACTTTTTGCCAGTGCTGCTGACCACGACCACCAAAACAAAATTCTGGCATAGGGAATGGGGGAAGACTTACTAGTTCTAAGCACATGAAACCTTAGCAGGTAGCAGAGCCAAGCATTGGTGGACAGCTCTGTTTGAGGCTCGAGTTTTTGCGTACCACCTTTGTTGTGTCCCTTCTGGGTGATCTGGCCTGCTGAGTAGTATGTGCAAGAGTATGTGCTCTGAAGCTAAACGCATAACATGACTCAGCGCCAGGCTGTCAAGCTTAGAGCAGCAGGGAGGCTTGTTAAGAGAGCAAGCTTGTGATCACAGACAGACCTGATGGCTAGAAGGGCTGGTTGCCTCCTCTGCCAGTAGTGGGTGCACCTCAGGGCTGCCGCGCTGTTGTCTGTTGCAGTTTCCAGGACAAGCAAAATAAATAAGGCTGTTGCAGATCAGATCTGCACAGTTGTAACAGATCCACAGAGGAAATTGTTCTCTGGTTTTAGCCTCTGTTCATCCACCTTCCATCTTTGTCATCTAGAAAATGTAAAAGCCAGCCAGGGCTTTATGTGCTTACTACAAAATGTCAGGCATGACGTGCTACCCAGAAATTCTGTTCTTTCATCCCAAAAGGGAAATATATGGGGAGTTTGAGTTTTCTTGTCACTGATTCCTCTGCTAAAATTCTGTGTTGATCTATTGAATATGGACAAAATTCTTTAATGAATGAGCTTATTCCTATCCCTGCCTTTGTAAACTCTATTAATATTTATCTCAGTAGGATCCTTCCTTTCGGTTGGATGCAGCTAGTTTCATATGTACATTACTGGCGTCCATCCCCTCATTCTTGTGAGGAGTTGCTGATGGCTTTAAGTATCTCACTGCCTTAATGGGATTTGCTGCCAGCTGCCAAATTGATATCTAGAGTGTAAGCAGGAGAGAGGGGTGAGAACTACTCCCCCCCCCAAGCTATTAATAAATCAGCACCACAGGGAAGTGCTTTCTGCTGGGAGCTTGAGTCCCATCAGCACATGCTGCTGACAGAGGGGGTGGTTAGCTGGGGCAGCTGCCCTGCAGGGAGTAGGGCTAGCAGCAAAGGGATGTGGTCCAAAGTGACACTGCTGTGGCACAGTCCACCCAGGAGGCCTCTCAGCCTCTCAGCTAGTGTCCTGTGAGCCCCTCTGCTGGAGTGGCTGGTAATGCCCGGCATACTGAAAGGCTCTGCTCAGCCAGAGCTTTAGAAAATAATTGAGAAAGAAGTGTGGACTGCATTCCAGACAGCCAGTTACTGCAGTGTGTAACAGCCCTTCTTCATCCTGAAGGGAGCATGGCTGAGACAGCATCCCACCCAAACAGGCTCTGACCCGTCCACCAAACAAAGCATTCACCACTGACACATCCTCTCCCCATTGCCATCACGAGCCTTGCTGTGCCTGCACATCCCCAGCTAGAGCTCTGCCTGATTGTGCTAAAATTAAGGGAGTAATTGAGATGATTTTTTAAGCATGTCGGGGGGTGATGGCCTTGCAACAGGATCCTCCCGCATGGCACAGTGTAAACCAGAAAATGAAATGTTGGACTCCTGGGTGGAGATCTGCAGTATCATTTATAATGTAAAACCTGTGCCTGTGGAGGAGAATGGCTGCGCGTGCAATCAGGCGAGCAACCGCTTTGCTTGGATTTGAAAAGCGAGAAGAACGTCTTGAAATGGACGCTAGAGGGAATAAGAGAGTCTCACAAGTGTAACTTTCAAAAGACTCGAAAACCAACCACAAACAGCTCCAGAGCGTTTGGGAGGTGTTCGGCACTCCCTGGGCTCAGCGTTTTCTCTCTTACCTTCTCCAGCATCCAGTGTTCTGGCCCTGTATGACGCTCCTGAATGCACCATGCTGTATCACATACGATTTTGATTTATTTGGAAATACTTCCTTAGGAAACCTGCAGTGCCCACAAAATGCAATGGAGAATATCCTGGGCCCTCCCTCGGCATGGAAAAGCCATGGTGCTATAGAGCATTCATGGTGCTACAGGGCGTCCGATGATGCTATGTGCAGCCCTTCATGTCTTAAAGAGATGATTTTTGTCACAGGCCATAGCTGCAAACAGGCTCTAGACTGCATGGTTTGATCTCAAGCTGTATCCCCATGCTGCCTCTTGCCATGCCCAGCTGAACTGAGGTGTTCTGGGGAGGGGAAGGGGGTTATCCACACAAGACCTGGCTGCTCCTACAGTTGCAGCAGAAGCGTTGTTGTACCCGCAGCTCAGCAGCCAGCCTGGCCTGGCCACCTCGGCTCCCAGGCTCTGGTGGACAATGCTCCGGGAACACTACACAGTGTCAGGCTGTGCTGCGCTGTGTCCCCTCCTGGGGAGATGCGTCTGTGTGTCCAGGCTCTGGAGCACGGGGCACATGGGATGCCTGCATGGAATGCTGCCAGGCCTGAGCCGGAGGGGCCGCACTGCCCACACAGATGGGCAGGGATGGAGAGGGGCTGTGGTGTCATGCTGGCATTTGGGATGGTGGCCAAAAGTGCCAGAGGGGGACTTTGTGTATGCGCATGTGTGTGAGGCTGTGTGTGTACGTGCGACTGCTCCCTGCCAGGTATTGAGCCCTGATGAGAACAGCTCTGGCATCACTGCCACCGTGCCCTCAGCCAAGAGCAGAGGGCATGGGAGGTTGAACCAGGGCGGCAGTGGGGTTCAGGCTGCAGTAGGGCTTACCCAGTAGGAGGCTGATTATTCTGAGTCAGCCATTGCCAATCCGGGGCCAACGTGGAAATAGCAAAGAGCTGCAAAAGCGCTTCTCCTCCATTTGCAGGTCTTGGCAGGATTTGTGTCTCCCACTGCATGCTTCAGCCAGCACAGTCCCCCAGGGAGACCCTGGCAGAAGGACTCTGTGAGAATCCTTTCATGTGAGATGCCCCAAGAGGTGTCCTACCCCAGGGCACAGTCCCCGTCTGCCCTGCTTCAGCCCTTCCCTGCCCCTGGGTCACCGTAGATGGAGGAGGTGAGGACCAAGCAGCTCTGCAAGTCCCAGCCTCACTGCTTCCCTCTCTTTTGAGGTGTCAGTCAGTGGGGAGCACCTCCAGGGTCAGTGGTGTAGTTGGGTCATCCCAACATCTTCAGTGGTCAAGCAGCATTTCAGCCTCACAGGAAGGCAGCAGGAGTCCTTTTCTCCTACCCGTGGCCAAGGTAAGTTCTTGAGTTGCACCCTAGGGTGCATGGGGTTGGGGTCAGTCTTTCTGGTTTACAAAGCCTCAGGCCAGATTCCCAGCTGCTGCAAGCTAATGTTGTCTCCCCGATTTTAACCCAGGCCACATTATATGTGCTAGCTGCAGAGCTGGTCCTTCCTTCTCTAAGCACTGTGCCCATCTCAGCAAGGATCCTGGCAGGCTGGCAGGGTTTGACTGGTTTATTTGATGGGCACTGGGGCTGTTGCTGCCACGTGCAATTCATTCCTGTTCTGGATCATGGAGCTTGAACCATCTTTCCTATTTTCAGTGTTCCTGCCATGGCTTCATTTGCAGCATCATCACTGTTCAGCAGCTGCCTGTGCTGCATGTCCAAGTAGGGTACCAGAGCTCAAGGGCAACTCCTGGACTCCCATGGGACCAGCAGGTGCTCAGCAGACACCCACATCTGTGTCCTGCCCACCTCCAGGAAGCATTGCTCAAAGCTTGTAGCTTCAGTCCAGGAGCAGTGTGCTTTGGTCCTGGAATGTTGTTGATCCAGTAGGTCCAGGGACCCCTGTCTGCTCAGGCTTTTCATGGAGGCAACCAGCTTTTTGTGATGGGATCAGGTTGGCTTGGGATGAGA